GCAAGGCATCGTGGTACTGCAAGCACGAGACAGCAACTCACACATCTCGTTCAACGACGTACTCTACGTCCCAAATCTTCGGCTTAATCTTCTCTCGGCAGGACAACTTCGCGACTGCGGCGTCATCCTCACCACGGACCTAGCCACACGCGATCTAATCCTCACCTACGCTCCTCCGGACACCCCTCCCGAGTCATTCAAATACCTCGGACGAGCCCGCTCAATCAACGGAATTTACGTCCTAGACTTCGACGTACCTTCCTGCCAAGCATCATCTGATGAGCTCGTCAACCTCGTTCCCCTCGAGTTCGCCTACATAGGCAAATGGGAGCACCCAGACGGACGACCATGGATTCGCCGCAGCCCCCATCCCCGCGAGATCAATCTGCACGAGCCAGACCTCAATGGCCTCTGCACCACCTGCCACACACCCACAGCGAGCCGCACAGAGCAAGTTGAAAAGGAGTACGCGGCAATCCAGGAAGCAGAGAGTGCCGAGGCAAAACCTATGGGCATGACACAAGAAGAGCTTGCCGTGACAACTCATCGCATCTTCGGCGAATCAAACGACGACTTCGGGCAAGTGCGTGTCGAACGACCAACTCCGTATGCAGAGACACTCCGGTTTATTTTACGAGCTAACACCGGCACCTACGATGAGGAGGGACGCCCACGCCCCTACCCTCGCGACGTCTACCGCACGGAGATCGACACAGCCTGGAAGGATCCTGACGCAACAGAGGAGCTGAGCGGCAAGGAAGAACAAGACAAGGACCGGGCGGAAAAGAAACAGAAACTTTATGAGCAACGCGTCGCGGATGGCTGGGACGAGGAGTTAGCACGACGAGGCGCATGGGGAGACGAAGATTACGAACCAGAAGAAGGCGCAACCTGGGCATCCGCCACTGGAGCATGGGGAGCCAGCGCCAGCGGCACGGTCACCACGGGAGGATGGGGCAACACCAGCGAATGGGGAGGAAACGAATACGTGGACGCTCCACTTACCAAAGAAGAAGAAGAAGAGATGGAACGCGAAATGCAAGCTGAGCGCGGAGAACAGTCTCCTCGTGTCGCCATTCCACTCGGTCGACCCCCGCGCATCCGCTCACCTCCCTCCTCCCCCTATCGGTGGCGTGATCCTCGGTCGGAGATTGAGGAGGGGAATGTACCGCCAACCCCCCCTCGTGATTCTCTTGGTCCAATCTCCCGCCCAGATCCATTCGCTCGATTCATTGAAGGCACCACGATCCCTCTCACCATCATCCCCGACCGCGAATTTCTCGCCCTCTACCTCACAACGGCACCTGCAGAAGGGGAGACAACGGCGGAAGCAGAAGCAGAGGAGCCGGACAACGAAGCGGAACCAGGAGAAGAGGAAGAACCCCCACTCCAGATCCCGCAAGTTACGGAAGCAGAAGCAGCAGAACACTACGCTCGCTACAAGCGCACTTCCGGCATTCGCGCCGAAGATGATCTCTAGCACCAGCGTCTGGGACACCCCTCGCGCCAGACCCTCGCCAACTGCCTCCGCGCTAAAGTTTTTCCGCCAGGAGCACTGCTGCGCCCCGACGGATCAGAACCGCATAACACCCCTCACCCAGTCACTTGCACTGTCTGCCCCACAGCTGCGCTCTCCCACAGCGCCTACCCCTCTCTGGAGCCGAGCACCAACCGTTACAAGAAGCTGGAGAAAGTATACAGCGACTTTATCGTACTCACCTTCGACGGCATCAACGGCGAGAAATATACCCTCACCTTCATCGACGCCTACTCACGCCATGTGTGGGTCGCCAACGTCGACGCTCGCTCCAAGGCTCCGGAAGTATTCCGCATCTTCCACGCGCACGCGCAGCGACAGTCCGGAAGGAAGCTGAAGATCTGGCAGAGCGATGGGGCCAAGGAAATTCGCAGCAACGAGCTGGAGAGTGTTCTTACCGAGAAGGGGATCAAGCATGAGATTTCTCTCCCCTACGCTCACCAGCAGCAAGGCGTCGCAGAGAGAGTCAATCGCACCCTCATGACAAAAGTTCGCGCCCTCATGAACCAGTCCGGCCTGCCAAAGAAGTTTTGGCCCTACGCCATGAACCACGCGGTGCGTCTGCACAACCTTCTCTCCACCACCGCCAACAGGGACAACCTGTCCCCTCACATGAAGTGGACCGGCTCAAGGGGAGATCCCTCCATGCTAAGGATCTGGGGGTGCATGGTGCAGTACCGGCCGACCTCGGCCACAATCGGGAAGTTCGTTCATCGCGCGTGCTGGGGAATTCATCTGGGCCTCAGTCACGAGCACAAAGGATGGCTCATACTTGACATCGACAGCAACGAAGTGGTTCCCGCGCGTGATATTCTCTTCTACGAGCGGCTCACCTTGAAGCAGTGGATCGAGGACGAACGACGCAACGAGGCACGCGGCTATGCCAACAGCAGTCGCAGCTTTGCGACTCCAGAAGATGAAGCAGCAGCAGCAGCCCTAGACCGCGACGTCACCGACGAACACCCTAACATCCCGCCACGCCCGCGCGACGACGACGACGATGACAGTGATGATGACCCTGCGCCAGGACCGCCACGGCGCCAAGCAGAGCCAAACACCACAGCGCCCGGCTACGAAAGCGGAGACGACGACGTGGTGGAAGTCACCACCAACACTGACACCACCAATGTGTCAGGCCTGCAACTTCTCGGCCTGCACACGTCCGTCACTACCCTCGCACGGGCCGTGGAACCAAAGAATCCTCGCCAGGCTCTGACCGGCCCCCACGCCAAGGAGTGGCGTGCAGCGATGGATGCGGAGCTGAAAGCGCTGGAATCTCGAGACACGTGGGTCCTAGTCGATCGTGCAGCAGTGAAGGGGAGGAGGGTACTCAGCGGAAAATGGGTTTTTCGCTTGAAGACTAACGCTGACGGCACCATCGAGCGATTCAAGCCACGCTGGGTCGTACGTGGGTACGATCAGCGCCACGGCATCGACTTCGACCAGACCTTCGCTCCCGTCAGTCGTCACACCTCCGTCAGGATCCTACTCGCCATTGCCGCCGCTAAGCACCTGCCACTGCGACAGATCGACGTGAAGAACGCGTTCTTATACGCGTTGGTGGACGCTACCATCTTCGTGGAGCAGCCTCACACCTACGGAGAAGGGGATCCTAGGGTCTGTCAACTGAAGAAGTCCCTCTATGGGATCAAACAGGCGCCTCGTCTCTGGCGGCAGCATCTGCACAAAATCCTCCTGGAGATCGGTTTCAAGCAACTGCCACGCGACCCGGGAATGTATGGCCTTCACTTTACCGGCGATTACATACTCCTGACAGTCTACGTCGACGACCTGTTGTACACGGGCACCTGCAACAAACTCCTTAACCAGTTTGAGGAGAACCTGGCGCAGCGCGTTGACATCACCATCAACCACAACGTGAAGCAGTTTTTGGGGCTGAACATCACCTACGCGCCAGAAGCAATACACCTGTCAGCCTCCAAGTACGCAGAGCAGCTGGGGGAACGCTTCAACATCTCACCCGCACCACTCTCAACTCCCTACCGCAACCCCAGCGCCAACTACAAACCGGACAACAAACCTCTGTCACCCGCAGGGCTCCAAATGTACCAGCAGAAGTTGGGGTGCCTGCTATTCGCCTCTGTCACCTGCCGACCCGACCTTTCGTACATCGCCAGTCAACTGGCGCAGTATTCCCGCAAGCCAGTAGCTGAGAACCAGCTGGACCTGGAGCGCGCCCGGCAGTACTTCGTCTCTACACCTGACATTGGGCTCTCCTACTCCACGCTGACGACGACCTCCTTCAACCTCAACGGCTACGTGGACGCAGATCATGCAGCTGACTCTGCAAATCGACGGTCCCGAACCGGCTTCGTTTTTCGCTTGGAACCAACTGGGCCAATCTCCTGGAACTCGCAGAAGCAGGAGCTGGTTGCCCTGTCATCGGCTGAAGCAGAATACATCGCCGCGACAGCAGCAGTTCGCGAAGGCCTATACCTGCAGGAGCTGCTACAGGAGGCGAAAATCCCAACTTCGCCTACCTTTCGCCTTCACTACGACAACCAGAGCGCCATCAGGATCGCGAACAAGCCTGGTTTCGTGAACCGCACGAAGCACATCGCACTTCGGTATTTTTTCGTCAAGGATGAAATTGACCAAGGAAAAGCCGACCTCGCCTACTGCCCGACTACTGAGATGGCAGCAGACTTTCTCACCAAGCGCCTGCCACGTCAGCAGTACAAGCACTGCTCTGACCTCACCGGAGTAGTCAAGCGAGTCAGCTCCTCCCGCGCCCAGGAATGAAGGGGAGTGTTACGATATGAAATTACATGAGTAGGCATTCCTGTATGCTGCAGGAGCCGACTCTATCGAGTACGAAGTCGAGGAGTCAGAAGAGTCGAAGCGACGCAGCAACCGTCTGACCAAGACCGATGCAGGCAGAAACATCTGAAGTGAAAAGAGCGGGAACAGGTTTGAAACGGGTTCCCGCGCCGCACGGTTTGAATTTCGCTGCAATAAGGGAGTGTACCCCTTAGAGTACATGGCTAGTCTAGGTCTTTTCGTATTCCCTTGTATTCTTATATAAACCCGATGTATGCATGCTTTTATCAACTCAGTCATTTACATTCACTCTGACCTGAGATTCAAACTTCCGCTGCAACACTACTCTGCGATCAACCCTGAGCGATCCTTTGCTAAATCCCACTTGGGATTGTAACACATTCAATATCGAATAGGACACATACATCTGATTTCCGGGCGATGACGATAGTAAAATAGAGTTGATGTATGTAAATTCGCTCGTAACTTCGCATCCCTTCACTTCCCTAGTGCCTCATCTTGTGTTGATTTGCGGTGCCCACTGAGATTTGAATAGACAAATGACCATAGTTTATGGCATCACAGTACCGTAGTTCACTGCCACCATACAAGTCGTGCTTCATTGTTTTTGCGTCGTGCATAAGGCGTCAAGTCATATACAAATGAGAGGAACGAATACTTATCACATTGTAGTGCGGGCGTTGACAAGACCAGCAACGGAGGATGCAAGGGAACGTAGGAGGGAGACCGTGAAGCTGCTGATAACACCTGCCACAGAGGGAAACACGATGAGAAGTACGGAAACAGAGCGAACGCAGCACAAACAGGGAAAATTAACAACATCGCGGTGAGTGGAACAAGGAGCAAAGGGATGGCTGCGAGTTTAGGGTTTAAGGTTTAGGGACCACTTTGCAGCAAGAGGTGAGGAATATGGGTGGGAGGGAGGAGAAGATGGGATTCGTATCGTGAGGTAGGGAGGGGGGAGCAAGGATGGCGTTGGGAAGGCAAATTACAGAAAGAATAATCAGGGAAGAGGCAGAGTCACAAGAGTGATGTGCAGAGGGGAGGGGAAAGAGGCTGACAGAAGAAGATGATGGTGGCGAGGGAGGCGATGCGACCGACAGCTGCTGTGATGTAGAGGAAGAGCAGCACCTGGCATGGCAGGGAGGATGAGAAACAGGTGAGGGGGACACACGCACACCCTTGACTGGCCTGACCAAGGACGGTCCACATGGCAACGTGCATGCATGAGCCGGGCCCATGGATAAGCCATCAGCAAAGGACAATGTTGATGCGCAGAGGTGGGGTCGACTTGTGAGCCGAGGTGTTGACTCTCAGCTTCCACTGCAAGCTATCCCCGAACGAACTCGCAAAGGAGCATGAGTTGTGGTGCTGCGAGTGACTCACTGCCCAGTGCCCACTCCACGGCACCCCAGCGAGCCCACCTTGACGAAGAGGCGCACGTCGGAGCCGCTGGCAGCCACTCGCAGCACGCCCTCCGCTGCCCCCAGCACGTTGGCCCCCGCCGCCACCACCGCCTCCGCTGCCCCCTCCGACACCTGCCAGGGGCGCGCTGTGTGCAGCAGTGGGCTGGGGGACGAGGGGGGCGGGAATGCAGAGAAGGGAGGAGCAGGAGACTGGGAGGCAAACGGAGTAGGACTAGGGAGGGCAACGGGGGCGAACAAGAGACTTGTCCAGCGGCCCTGGAACAACAGCCACCCTTCCAGGACTAGTCGCTTTCTGTGGTGGCATCCGCCCCTGGTGCTGCACGCTGAGTGCGAGCGATGGGCCAAGGGTGTGGGGTGGGAGTGCGCACGGGGAGAAGAGAAGTGGAAACAGGAGGCTGGTATAAAGGCATGCTTGGAACCTGGAATAACCAGACAAGAAAGTGGGGAACGGAGGTGGAGAAGGTGGAGAAGGGATTAGGGAGGGGCCGGGGGGGATAAGAGGGAGGGCGAGTGAGCATGTGGAGGTGATGTTTGAAAAGCTGTCGTGGTTTGGTAACGACCTGCTTATGTCCAGGATGAGGGACGGACACGTGCAGGCTGGCAGGTGGAGAAAGGGAGAAGGTAAACTCACGGGAGGTTGAGGGCGCGTGAGAGGAGGGCGAGCAGGGCGGCGGCAGTGGTGAGGACGAGGAGCACGTCGGCAGTGAGGGCGAGGAGGGGGCGGTGCATGGCGTGGCAGTGCAGATACACCACCCCCGCCAGCACGCCCCCCACCACCCACACATGTGCCTGCTGCCGCGCGGGCACAGCATTCAGCACCGCCGTGGGGTGCAGACCTGCTGCTGTGGTGCGGTGGGCGGGACAAATGGGCGGCAGGGTATGCGGGAAGAGGTGTAAAGTGAGATGTGTGACAATATGGAAGGAATAGACAGGTGGGTGGGTGGATGCATGCGCGAGTTGCACTGAATCAGCCATTGGAATTTGGTTTCAAATAGTTACTGTGAAGCACACTCACACCCATGCGAGGCACATACCCCCATGTGAGGCACATACCCCCATGTGAGGCACATACCCCCATGTGAGGCACATACCCCCATGTGAGGCACATACCCCCATGTGAGGCACATACCCCCATGTGAGGCACATACCCCCATGTGAGGCACATACCCCCATGTGAGGCACATGCCCCCATGTGAGGCACATACCCCCATGTGAGGCTATGATGCGAAAGACGCTCGGAGGACGCTGCGTCCTGCGTCTGGACGCAGCGTCTGGACGCTCGGACGCAGGACGCGCGTCCAGACGCAGGACGCACATCGATTTTTTTTCGGGCTGCCCCGAAAAACAAAAAATCCCGATCGCGAAATTTCGACCCCCCCCCCCTTGCCCAATTCGACATTGTAAAACAGCCCCCCCAACATTTCATAACCCCCCATGCAAAAATTGAATTTCTCATACCTCTCAACCACTTCACATCTAGAAAACCCAACCTTTGTGCCTACCACCATGCCCATTTAGCAATGCAACCAAGCCATTTGAGGTTTCTCATTTCACCCACCCACCCAATTCTCTTTCGAAAACCCTAGAGGTTTTAGCTTAATCTTGAGTTTTGGGGGAAAATGTGTTGTTGGGGCCAAATTTGCCTTGAAAGTGTGGAACGTCCCCCCCCCCCTCTTCCCATGCCCTACAACAAAAAATTTTGCCTGCCCGGGGGGTTTTTTTGCCTGCCCGGGACTGCGTCTTTTGGTGCGTCTTTCTGGTCCTGGTGCAGCGTCCTGCGTCTGGACGCATGCGTCTGGACGCATGCGTCCAGGACGCAGGACGCGTCTTTCGCATCATAGATGTGAGGCACATACCCCCATGTGAGGCACATACCCCCATGTGAGGCACATACCCCCATGTGAGGCACATACGCCCATGTGAGGCACATACCCCAATGTGAGGCACATACCCCCATGTGAGGCACATACCCCCATGTGAGGCACATACCCCCATGTGAGGCACATACCCCCATGTGAGGCACATACCCCCATGTGAGGCACATACCCCCATGTGAGGCACATACCCCCATGTGAGGCACATACCCCCATGTGAGGCACATACCCCCATGTGAGGCACATACCCCCATGTGAGGCACATACCCCCATGTGAGGCACATACCCCCATGTGAGGCACCTGCAGTCTTCATTGAGCCACTTGTTGAGACAACAGCGAATCCCACTGCTCAGTCTTGCTTGTGCCTAGCTGCATCTGAGGAGGAGCAGAGCGGAGGGACCGGGGCGCGAGAATGGTGACGGGTGGGACACGAGAGCGCCAGTGGAACTTCATTGCATCAAGAGAGCATTGCAGCAATAACGGAAAGGGCAGCGCAGGGAAAGGCAGAGCAGGGAAGGGCAGAGCAGGGAAGGGCAGAGCAGGGAAGTCAGCAGCGGGAGGGAATGGCAGTGGGAGGGAAAGTGGAAGCGCGCAGAGTGCAGTGCGTTGGTGCGTGCATTTGACGTTTGAAGGGCACTGGTTGTGGTGCCACACATGCACCGCACCTGGCACACGTGCAGCGCACGTGGCGTTGGTGGGACCTTAAGATGCGACGGTGGGACTCACTGGCCGCACACACTGGCAGGATTGACGAGCGGAGATACCTGCAGGGACAATGGTCTGGCAGCTGGTAGATTCGCTCGGAATAGGGAACGGAAGGGGATACAGGGGAAGGGGGGGGGGAGGAAAAGGAAGGGATAAGGGAAGAAAGGGGAGTACAGGCGGTTGAGAAGGAGGGGAGGGAGAAGCAGGCATGGGTATGGAAGGGAAGGTATGGGAAATAAGGAGGAAGGGAGGGGTACTATCCGTCATGTCTCTCCACCCCCTCTCGACTCCTTACCTTACAGTCCCGTCCCTTCACTCCAGTTGCTACTCACCCAACTCCATTCCCATTCCTCCAACATCCTAACCTGCTTCGCTTCCTACCCTCTCGCTTCTGTTCCCGTTCTCCTCCTTTTCCTCTCACGCCGTACCACACTCCCTACCTGCTAGCACTACGCGGATGGCTTCGGCGCCGGCATCCGACGAGAGTGCGAGGGGAGCGCGTGACGGGGGTGAACGGGTGCGAGCGGTGGGCGTGAAGGATACGCGACGTATTCGCGGGTGGTTCGAGAGAAGCGGGCCTAGTGGCCTGCTGGTCTCGCTCTGCCTCGCGTCGTCTGATCGCGGACCCCCAATGCCGCGCAGGTGAACGACTGTGAAACGCGACGGCACTCGTTTATCGCTATACGTGGCAAACCTCCCAAGGCGCTGCGGGATGGGATGACGCGGCTCGTCGTTCTGAAAGCAGATGCGAGAGGTGTCGCCTCTAGGGTGGCGCGTGCGATGGACGCGGTGGTCGCGCGGAGGTCATCGCGCAATGCTAAGCTGGATATAAATTCATGCATGCCCTGGTCTCTTGTTGCACTTAGGCGAGTTGATGCACAGGCTTTCGGCTTGCTTTCCCAAGCCTGGGCCAAGCGTTTTTGTTCACCATTTGGTTTGGTTGGGGCCAAAGCGTCAGACCTCACCTCTCGGCTCGGTACACAACCACGGAGCCTGTCCAGTTCGGGAAGCACTAGTCTGGGGCTTCACTAACGTGAGGAGGTGTAAGGAAAATTCATTTTCCTTACTTCGCGCCCCTGCTTACCGTGTACATGGCCATTCCCGCCATCGGCACCCACAGTGAAAACGTTACCCACTCGCAGCACTCGCCTCGGCCACGACTCCCGCCACTGTTCGCGATGCGACCCAACCTAACGGTTCGGTTGGTAACCCGCGCTCCGGACCTCCGCCTCGACAACTTCCCAAACCTCGGCGCTAGGCCCGTAGCGCACCCCAATTTCCCGCATTACCGTTACCACGCTAGCTTCGCTATATAACTTCGCTCATGCTTTTCGCTCAACTGTATTGTTTGCTTCGATAGTGCAATTCTCGCTCGCTCGCTCAATTGCACTCGTAACACTTGGTATTCAGAGCCTACGATCTCCTCTCGGACCGCACCCACTCCTTCGCTTCCCCACTATCTCAATTTTGGGGGGGTAGACGTCTCTCAGCGAACAAGCACCGCCGCTCGAAGTGCTCTCTCGTAAGCACGCACGGCCACGACAGAGGCTCTCGCTGAGCTTGCCCGACACCCCCGTCATGGCCGAAATTAATCTTGCGACACTGACGCAGGAGCAGCTCGACCGTCTCGTGCGCCAACTCGAAGACTCGGCGCTCGAAATCGAGACACTCACGGCGGAACGTGACTCCGCCCACCAGCAATCAACAGTGAATGCGCCAGCACCATCACAAGCACCCGCGAATGCACCGGTGCAATCAGATTAACCGATCGTCATCTCATCAGGCACAGCGACGCAACACGACAGCGTGGGACAGCGCTCAGGTGCAGCCAGTGATGGCGCCGCTCAATCGATGCCTGGCATGGAGAGAAATAGGGCCGCACCAAGCCCGCGTGGGCCTCGCGAAGCTCGTCGGCACGTGGAGTTTGCAGCAACAAGTGGCAGCCGCGTACAACAACTCGCCATCCGCCACAACCCAACAGTCACCGTTTTACCTAAATTACGGACAAGACCCCACAGTACCCATGACTCCGAATCCCAACAACCCCGTGCCACGCGCGCAACAGTTTGCAGAAATCTTACAAGCAGCACGGACCCAAGCAGCAGAGGCAATAAAAAAATCAAACGTCATCGCTAAGCGTAACGCCGACCGCCACCGCCGCCCCGTCACTTACCAACCAGACGACCTGGTATTACTCGACACTCAAAACCTCCACCTACCCATCACTCCAAAAATCCGCCCCCGATATTGCGGGCCATTTCGCATCAGCCACATGATCACACCCATCACCGCCCATCTCCTCCTCCCTGCTGACTGGTACGTCAGCCCATCATTCCACGTCAGCCTGCTTCGCCCATACGTGCCATCCACCAGCCAACTGCCTCGCAACCGCCCCGCCAGCATGACACGACCGCCGACAGAACCAATCATCACACCCGAAAAAATACTGAGCCACCGAGTACGTGACATACGGGGAGCCCGCAATATCGAATTCCTGATCCGCTGGAAAGACCGCACGCCCACCGAAGACAACAGGGTCCCCCTAGATAGAATTGAGAATCACCCTGTCCTCACCGAGTACCTGCGCAGCCGAAACTTTCGAGATGTACACGCGCTTTCGTAAAGAGGGCCTCCTTGGAGGGGGGGTAGTGTAAGGAAAATTCCTTTTCCTTACTTCGCGCCCCTGCTTACCGCGTACATGGCCATTCCCGCCATCGGCACCCACAGTGAAAACGTTACCCACTCGCAGCACTCGCCTCGGCCACGACTCCCGCCACTGTTCGCGATGCGACCCAACCTAACGGTTCGGTTGGTAACCCGCGCTCCGGACCTCCGCCTCGACAACTTCCCAAACCTCGGCGCTAGGCCCGTAGCGCACCCCAATTTCCCGCATTACCGTTACCATGCTAGCTTCGCTATATAACTTCGCTCATGCTTTTCGCTCAACTGTATTGTTTGCTTCGATAGTGCAATTCTCGCTCGCTCGCTCAATTGCACTCGTAACAGGAGGCAACTGTAGATGAAGTTGAGATGTTAGAATATAATGTACTTGCTTAAACTTCAGAATATTGAATATGCGGCGAATGCAGTCCAGTGCAGGGCCCTCGATATCAGGGAAAAACATCCTGATTACCCTGATTTCAGGATGAGGTTTTGATTATGCCATGAAATTTCAGAATGCTGTTCATTTTTACCCTGTAACATCAGGATGTTGCTGTATGATATGTCCTGCATTTTTACCCTGCAGCCCGCGCGTCACTACTCACGCACGAGACTCAGCGCTGGCACCACCGTCTTGGTCACCCCTCCCTGCCGCGTCTACGCAGCATGCACTCCCGTCTCCTTGTCTCTGGCCTCCCCAGGACCCTGCCCCCCCTGCCGCGCTCGCTTGCCCC